GCTCGTCCTTCCGACGGTAGGATATCCAGCGCGAGCCCATGTTCCCCCTTTGAGGTCGTAGCGTGCAGGGCTAGGTGGCTTGGTGCGGGGGAATAAGTACTCCTTCTGGACACGGGTGCACGGCACAGTGCTAGGAATCGGTGGTCCTTGGCAAGGGCTATGGGCACAGCACTAGGGATCGGTGTACTTTGGCTCGAGACGCGGAGCGTTATAAAACGGTTGGTACAAGGCGGGTGATCCTGCGGAAGGATGCTTGGTTTGGCACTAAGGACTTTTGATCCTTTGTCAGGATTCGCGGCTCGATACTAGGTGATTGATCCTGCGGAAGGATGTTTGGTTTTACACTAAAGGATTTATGATCAGGGCTTTTGTTTGTTAGAGTGTCTTTTCCGTTGGAAGATAGAGCTTTTATTTTGTTCACTGTTCACATCGAGGGCTAGAACTCCACTCTCTCTTCCTGGGCTTCGGCGCTGCATTATATTGTTCTTGCGTAGTAACCGTCGCCGTGTAGTTTTGTCGCTGCTGCCCCTCTGGGCGTCGAAGCGCTGTTGCCGATTTTCACGTCGCGTGATCCGCACGTGGCGATGCTGCGACCGCGTGGTTGCGTTGTTGCCGAACTTCTCGGCGTCACCTGCTGTCTCTTTCTCGCCTGTGCGCCAATGTGTTTTCGGGCGTCGCTGCTGCTACGGCCGACCGCGAAACGTGGTCGCGCTGTTGCCGCACTTCTCGGCGTCACCTGCTGTCTCTTTCTCACACGTGCGCCAATGTGTTTTCGGGCGTCGCTGCTGCTACGGCCGACCGCGAAACGTGGTCGCGCTGTTGCCGCACTTCTCGGCGTCACCTGCTGTCTCTTTCTCGCCTGTGCGCCAATGTGTTTTCGGGCGTCGCTGCTGGTACGGCCGACCGCAAAGCGTGATTGCGCGGTTGCCAAGCTTCTCCTCAGCTGTACATGGGTCGGAGGGTCGAAAAAAAAGATGTATGGTGCTGATTTCTGCTGCCTGCGTGTGTTGTTGCTCGGCTCCTTGTTCTTGGATGATTCTGTGGTGTCCCTGTCGTCGTCCCACGAGGTATAAGGGGCTGGGTCTGTGATCTTGGCTTTGGGGTGTGGGTGATTCTCTGAGGCTGATCTACGCTGTACTGGTGTTCATACCACTTATCGCTGGTTGCTCCTACAATTTCTTGCCCTATTTTTCGCAAATCTCTTCTCTCAGGTCCCTGCTCGGGCGCCATCTCTAAGGATGTTTTCTCAGGGCGGGGTACAGCCTCTCAGTCTGTCCAGGGCCCGATCCTAATACAGCCTATTTGTATTTTTGGGACATAGAGATTGGAATGAGTGGCGAGGGAAAAGTGCGGCGCTCCGCGCGTGGGACCGGAACGGGGCCCTTACAGCCAGGCACGGGAAGGAAATGCTCGGGGGGAATGGGGAATCCAGTTTCGGGGTGCCGTGCATGCCCGCGTACACACCTTTCAACTGGTCCTCCAGGGGGAAAAAGGCGAGGTTTTCTACGGGGAAGGTGCTACGGGAAGGGGGAGGGGCGGACCACAGTCACCGTGCGTTGACCGCGTACCGATGCTATGGCCCGTCTCCCCAAGGATAGTGGTGGAGAGATGGAAGGGTACAGTTTGGTGGCAGCCGATACAAAGGCGTTTTATATATTTGTGCCCACCATACAATACACCCAAGAGCCGGTTTTATCTTTCGCCTGGTTTGTTATTTCTATTCGTGCCCTCGGCGGGTCCGGCTGGGTCCGGGTGCGTTGTTCCAATCCTGGGGGCACCGCTCTGGACTCTGCTCTCTCACTCTCACTTCACACCCATCGTAAGTGAGCCTTTTTTGAGCGTGCCAAGCCGCTTGATCCGGCCTCTGCCGGTAATTCTGCCCGGCCCTCGGCCACTTTGTAGCTTAGCTGCCGAACGCTGAGCCGATCGTCGATTATCTCTTTCGTTGCGGCGCTGCTCCTCTCTCGGCTGCTGTGGGCTGGCTTGGGGTGGTTTTCGGCTTTGCCCTAGCATTGCGTCGTTGGCTCTGCCGCTCATATTTCTGACGCGTGCCAGTTATGCTTGGCTAGGGTTCTCTTCTCCCGACGGCCAGCTCCGTTCTCTTTGCTTAGGCCCGCCTATCGCTCTCTTAAGCGTATCCTCCCTTTTCGTTTGCTCGGTGTTTCTCTTTCGTGTTCTTGGTACTGGTTCTTCGTTCCTACTGCTGGTTCCTGGTTCTGGGTGCTGGTTCTCGGTTCTTGCTGCTGGTTCCTGGTTCTGGGTGCTGGTTCTTGCTTCCTACTGCTGGTTCCTGGTTCTGGGTGCTAGTTCTTGGTTCTTAGTGATGGTACCTGACTGCTCCCAGTGGCCATCGTTCCCACTAACCAATGCTTAGTTTAATTTCTTATTATATATATTTTCGTTAACTTCTTACGTCTAATATGAGTAATAATGGATAATATGGATACCATGGAGTAAATGAAGTAAAAAATCGATAGGAAAAATAAGAAATAACAAAATCAAAAGTATTGGCAGTCCTGTTTGCTGGCCCGCCCCGATGGGCCCGTGTGGGTTTTGCTACCCTTGTGGTAGGACGGTGTCCACTGCCCTGTTGTTGTGCAGGAGCCTGCTACTTCACAAGAGTCATATCGAAAATTTTATATGAGAATGCAGAGATTCTGTCGCTGCGCCTTACTCTAAATATGTATCTAGCTATATTATTAAATCACACGCTCAACTTTTGCCTGTTTTCGTAGCCACAGTTTCCAAATGCCTCAATCCCATAAGTGATTACAGGTACTAGGTATGCTTTTGCTATCTGCATCCGGATGCTAACTGGTATAAATTGCTTGGTAATATTAAGTGCCCTTAAGATCCCATATGTTTTTCCAACTGCTTTGCTCACATGATCATCCCACGACAGAGTACTATTTATTATAAAGCCTAAATTAGTTGTCTTCTCTATGTAGCTAATGGGAGTGTTTGATATTTCTACACGTCTCAATATAATTTCATTTATTTTTTTCTTGTTTTTGTATATAATCAAGCATTTTGACTTCGTTGGATTGAGGCATAGTCGATTTTTGGTTGCCCACGCATTAATTTTCTCAAGCTCTCTATTGGTAACATTTATACACTCATCTATTCGATTTAACGGTCGACTAACATATAATTGGACGTCATCGGCGTACATGTGCACTTTACAGTCGGACAATACTATTGGCAAATCATTTACACAAATGGAGAACAATATCGGGCCAAGTACTGATCCCTGTGGGACACCACACTTAACATAGGCTGATTGTAGTGGGAGATCCTTGCCTGCTTGTCTCTTCCTTCAGTTCTTTTGGATCGTGGGATTTAGGTGCCCAAACAAAATCAAAAAGAAGATGTAAGAATTTTCCGGAAAATATGCGCGTGCGCGTTGTTCTTTATTCAAAGGTCTGTTTTTAACTAACTCAACATGATTAAGCTTAGATCTAATGAGCAATGAAGAGGCCGCTCCAAAAGCTTTCATGCTTCGGGAGCATAAGCTTGCAGCCTATTGGCTGCATCGGTGCCTACTTTGCGGCTTAAACATCCTCCCCCCCTTGCAATATAGTTGCAAAAGAAAATAGGAACGGGAAAGGGCCGCCTTTCTCTGCTCACCCGGTGTTGCAAGTGCCAGAGAGAGTCCACCCGAACACCGTGTTCTGCGCAACTGGGAAGCCGTCAGTGCTTGGGACCACTCCTGGCAGAAGGGCCAGGGAAGGGCCGCCTTTCTCTGCTCACCCGGTGTTGCAAGTGCCAGAGAGAGTCCACCCGAACACCGTGTTCTGCGCAACTGGGAAGCCGTCAGTGCTTGGGACCACTCCTGGCAGAATCACCTTTGGATAGACGTCGGCTCCTAGTACCAAGGAAATGGTACATGGCCGATGGAACTGAGCATCCGCCAGGTCCATGTTGGCGAAGTGCCCCTTTACGTGGTCTCCCAGGGGTCTCGTCGGTGTTCGTATCTGGAGCTGAGGCTCCACCGTCAGGACCACCTCTAGCCTGACATCGCTCTTCACCTTAGAAAGGATGAAGGTGGTGCAAGCACCTTCCGCACCAACGAGAGCGACGGAAAGCCCGAAGGCCGTTGCCAAGGATGCGTTTATGCGGCTGACTGGACTGCACGGATCAATTAGAGCGCCCACCTCGAACGTCTTGAGGCCCGTGTCGATCACAACCACTGCTGTTGGGAGGACGCTAGTGCTCCTGGACTGAAGGAGCGATGTCAGCGTCGTTGGAGGAGCAGCGGATCTGGAGCGCGATCTCGCTGTGGGCGAGCTTGCCTTCGGCCCAGTCGAGCGAGCCTTGGGACGTGGAGTCCGCTATGATCCCCCTAGGTGGAGGAGAGTGTGGTGGTTCTTCCCGCAAACCCGGCATGTGTCGCCGCTTCGGCATGAGCTCCCTGAGTGTTGGTGGTCCAGGCAATTGTGGCAGTACTTATTAATGATCACTGCCCGTAAACGCTTTTCGGCACTTAGCGTGAGGAACCGCTTGCATTTGCGTAGAGCGTGGACTCCACGGCAGACCCGACAGCGAAAACAGTCCGATCCTCTGGGCTGGCTGCGCGTTAATGGACGACGACGAGGAGTCATGCTTGGAAAAAAAAAGAGATGTGGAAGATTAGTGGTTGGATCTTATGCACCGGCCAACAAACGACACATTAGCTAATTGGATACTTGGACGTGGACATTGCTCTCTACAGGAAGAAGGATGAGCTTTGCTACTGGCCGCTTAATGGTCCCACGGACAGTTAAAACATCGACCACGCGGACCATGCCATCGACCCCGGGATAGGTTCGTTCAATCCTTCCTAGGCGCCATTCACTTAGCTGCAGGTTATCATCCTTTACGACAACCATATCGCCTGTTTGGAGGTTTCGAGTTGGAAGTTGCCACTTATTTCGTTTGTGCAACTCTTTCAGATATTCTTCCTTCCAACGGAAACAGAACTGCTGATTAAGGGCCTTTAGACGCTGCCATCGGTTGATGATTTACTCTGCGTTCTCTATTATTTCTGGCTCCGCAATTGACACCAGCGGGCCGCCAATCAAGAAGTGGCCTGGACTTAGGGCTAGAAGGTCAGTTGGATCTTCTGACATAGGGGAAATGGGCCGCGAATTCAAGCACGCTTCGATTTTGGAAAGGAGGGTCGACAGTTCTTCGAAAGTATACTTCCATGTTGAGGTAGACTTGTAGAAAAGCGTCTTGAAACTTTTCACACCCGCTTCCCACAGGCCGCCCATGTGAGGTGCGCTTGGAGGGTTAAAGCGCCACGTGAGGTGCTGCTGCGGATATGCTGCAAGAACACTTGATCTGGTGGCGACCAGGAAATCGTGGGAAAGGGCTTTTTCAGCTCCGACAAACGTCTTCCCATTATCGGAACACATTTTCTGAGGGCAACCTCGCCTTGCTACGAACCGATTAAAAGCTGCGAGGAACTTTTCGGTTGTGAGATCAGAGGTTGCTTCCAAATGGATCGCCTTCGTGCTGAAGCACACGAAGACACACACATACCCTTTGGTGATGCGGCAAGCTCGACCTGCGTACGTCTTGATCTCGAATGGTCCAGCGAAGTCGACACCTGTACGAGTGAATGGACGAGAGAACGTCGTCCTCTCTTCGGGCAAGTCTCCCATAAGCTGGGTTTGCAACTTTCTGCGATGGACCACACAGACCTTACAGGAGTTTATCGTTGTTTTGACGAAGGTCCGTAGTTTCGGAACCCAATATTTGGATCGGATGAGCCGCATCACTAATTGGTTCCCCCCATGCAGTGCGATGCGATGAGTGAACTGAACGAGGAGACGTGTAAATGCGCTTGAATACGGGAGAATGATCGGGTGCTTCTCATCATAGCTTAGGGACTCCGATGTTCTCACACGACCGCATGCTCTTATGACCCCGTGTTGGTCGATAAATGGATTCAAGTTAATGATGATCCTATTGGGCTTTGAGGTGGCTCAGAGGGGGCCTAGCTGAGGCCACCGGACGGGTCGCAGGTTGCGGATAGCGAACGGCCTACCCTAGCGGGTAGGTCAGCTGCGAATAAGCGGGCATCCTAAAGAGTATCAACTAAGTTGGCTCTGAGGGAGAGTACCGAAATAAGCAGTCCCGGACAGCCAGCGGGTGTTCGCGACGCAGCAACACTGACGATGCGCTTGTGGTGCCGCCTCTCATTAAGTAGCTCACACAATCCCATCCCTACACAACACCTACCCACATCCCAGCCCCAACACTCACCTCACACCGGGCCGGACTAAGGTGTCACTCAACCCGTGCCAAGAGTCAGCCTGGCTGGGGGCCCGGTATAAAAACTAGCCCAGTCGTGAACGGAGAGCTCAGGGACTTGGCAGCCCCCTGTTCTAATTATGCCTTACCCGGGTAACGCAGAGCTCTGCCGGGGTGGACCGTTCCCCTTCTCTGCAGCTCGTGGGAACTATATGGATAAAAACGAAAATATAAACAACAACAAAAACAAAAACGAGAGAGGCACTCCCCAAATGCCTGCAGGGAGAAATCCCAAGCGGGAGAAGGCAGCGGCCCAAAGGCCTGGCCCGATCCGCTCAGACGCAGGAAAGACCTGCACGGTGAAGGACGCGGGTATGAATCCGGGTGGGTCCCATCCCAAACCTGGGATGGGTGGAAAGACAACACCCAAAACTGATACCATGGTAGGGCAGCTAAGCAATATTGCGGCTGCTCAACCTTCTGGTGAAGCGGCGGGTGATGGCTTGCCATCAACCAGCGTCCAAACCAAAAAACAGTTATGCCGAAGAGAGTGTGGGCACAACCCGTCGGCAGAACGCAAGCCAGGAGTCAGTCCAACAGCAGACTGGCTGAAGAAGTGGAATGGGCCTCGTGGTGTGCCCAACTTCAGTATGGAGCCACAGAAGGTGGCCGCCCAACCGAAGAGGCAGCGCTCTCAAGAGACGCCCGGACCGCGCGAAGCGATCCAGGGTTGCACCAAATGTATCCTTCGCGCAGATTGCCAGGAGAGGACGCTGATAGGCGTTCTCGACAAGGCAGCGCGGGGGGAAATACCCAGAAGCCAGTGGAAGTGGGTGGAAGCGGCACTGGCCGACCGCTGCTCGAGCTCTCGAGAAGGACCCGGGCCACCCCCAGTCTGCAAAGACATGGGATGGTTCCAGGGGAGCATCAAGGTAGTAGCCTGCGAGGATGAGCGCTCCGTAAAGCTATACAAAGCTGCGGTGGCGCAAATCGGTGAGGTCTACGCCGGGGCAAAGCTCGTCGCTGTGGACTGGAGCGAGGTGCCCAGTAGGCCAAGGGCCCGTATATGGGTACCGGCCACTTTCAAGGAGCCCGAGCGGATCCTAACGATGTTGCAGAGATGCAACCCCACACTGCCAACCTCAGACTGGAGGGTGGTCAAAGTGGAGGCATCAAAGGGCCCCACAAATCAGGCAGTGGTAGTCCTAAATAAGGAATCGCTAGCCCCGATCGAGGCAGCCAGGGGAGAGCTTAACTTCGGGTTCAGCTCGGTGACCATGAAGGTCTACAAGTCGGACGCAGCGACCGAGGCGCGTTCTGTCAACAACCCAGTTGAGCAGGACGTTGCCTTGGAGATCGAGGCACCCGAAGTAGACCCGGAGCCGGAGCCGGCCCTGGAGAGCTACTCCTCGGAGACGGAGCTGATGCTCGATTTTGAGGCGTTGTGTCGGGACGAGATACTCGACGACTCTGACGCCGACATAACAGTGGTGGAGAACGTTTCTAATGAAGTCTCTGAGGCTTCTGCAGATAAATCTCCACCACTGTAAAGCAGCATCCGCTGCCCTGATACTCCGCTTAGTCGCAAGCGGAGGGGATATAGTCCTAATCCAAGAGCCCTGGGTGGTAGGAGGCAGGGTCTGTGGATTAGCGACGAAGGACTACAAGCTGATTGTAGCCCAAACTGAAGGTAAAATTAGAACCTGCATATTAGCAAGGAAGCACCTAAATATCTTTCTGCTCCACAATTTTAGCAATGGCGACAATACGGCAGCTAGCCTAGAGCTACAAGGGACACGCCTAAACCTGGTGTCGTCCTACATGGCTCACGAGGAAAGCGATCCTCCCAGTGACCTCGTTCGCAAGATTGCCAGAGACAGCGAGAGGTCGGATACAAGCCTACTAATAGGCTGCGATGCCAACGCTCATCACACCCAATGGGGGAGCTCGGATACAAATGCAAGGGGTGAGTCACTTTTCAGCTTCATCCTGAACTCCAACCTAATTATCGGTAATCGGGGTAATGACCCCACTTTTATCATAAAAAACCGTCAAGAGGTTATTGACCTCACTCTATTGTCTCACAAACTGTCAGACATAATGGAAAGTTGGAGAGTCCTAGAGGACCACTCCTTCTCCGACCACAGGTACATCGAGACAATCCTATCGCTCGAAAGCACCATACCCACTAGCTATACTAACCCAAGGAAAGCCAACTGGGATATGTATAGTGCAAAAATGGAGGAATTACTCCCCCCCCTAGCCACAAAATGCCCTGACACACAAGACGATCTTAATCGTCTTGTGGACAATTTCACGGAAGCTTGCAACAAGGCCTTCATGGCAGCTTGCTCCCCAACCAAACCAAGAGGGAAAAAGAAACCCCCCTGGTGGTCTAAACATATAGATACCCTCCGGAAAGACTGCAGGACTCTCTTTAACAGAGCCAAAAGCAGCAGCGAGGAAGCGCACTGGGAAAATTACAAAAGTAAGCTAACCCTATACAAAAAAGAAACAAGGAGAGCAAAAAGGGCCTCTTGGCACAAATTTTGCTCCGAAATTGAGGACACGTCAGAAGCCTCAAGGCTACGCAAGATCCTGTCAAAAACATCCCCCTCGGTGGGATACCTCAAGAGAACGGATGGTACGTGGACTAACTCTAGTGAGGACTCCCTACACATTCTACTCGATACTCATTTTCCTGGGTGTACGACCATCGAGCCGGCAGACACCCCAAGTGAAGGCCCGGAAACCTCGATGGGGCACATCCTCACAAAACGGAATATTAGCTGGGCAGTAAACAGCTTCAAATCCTACAAATCGCCTGGCCCGGACAAAGTCATTCCGGCTCAGTTGCAAAAAGCCGGGGACATGGCCATCAACTGGCTGCAAAGTATCTTCAGGAAGATACTGACAGTGGGAAAAATCCCCCGAGCTTGGTTAAAGGCTAAAATAGTCTTTATCCCCAAAGCAGGGAAACCCTCACACACAACCCCAAAAGACTTCAGACCAATAAGTCTATCGTCCTTTCTTCTCAAAACCTTTGAGAGACTAGTAGGGCTGCAGCTGAGGACAACTATAAATCCTCAGTGGCTGTCAGGCGCTCAACATGCCTACCGAAAAGGAAAATCCACGGAAACGGCACTCCATGAAGTAATCTCGGCGGTAGAGAAATCTCTACAAGTCAACGAATACTCCTTAATCGCTTTCCTAGACATTGAGGGAGCTTTTAACAACGTCATACCAGGAGCCATCACAGAGGCCCTGACTGACCTGGGAGTGGATCGTCACTTGATGATGCTCATAGATCAATTGCTCACATGCAGGACAGTGACATCATCAATGGGATCGTCCACTCAGTCTAGGTATGTCAACAGAGGCACCCCGCAAGGTGGTGTGCTGTCTCCCCTTCTATGGAACATAGCAGTCAATAAGATACTGTGTGACCTGGAAGGGGGGGCTGCAAGGTGGTAGCATACGCGGACGACGTTGCCATTATTTTCTCGGGAAAATTCCCTCAAACACTCTGCGATCTAATGACCGCAAAGCTCGCGCGACTCTCAGAATGGACAGAGTCACGTGGACTGGGAATCAATCCCTCTAAAACGGAACTTGTATTGTTTACAACCAAATACAAAATCCCGTCCCTCAACCCCCCAATACTAAACGGATGTAGGCTCTCCTTCAGCGACAGTGCCAGTTACTTAGGGTTGGTAATTGACAAAAAACTTAGCTGGAACCTGAGCATCAAAGACAGAGTGAAGAAGGCTACGATAGCACTCTACACTTGCAAGAAAGCCATTGGGCTAAGATGGGTGAACCCAAGAAGTCCAATGGATTTACCTGGATAGTAGACCAAACTACTCTACGGAGTCGCAGTGTGGTGGCCAGCCCTATCGAAGGGGACCATCACTAAACAACTGGGCAAGGTGCAGCGCACTGCAGCCCTATGCATCAGTGGAGCTCTCAGCACAACACCAACGGATGCGCTAAATGCTATCCTATGCTTGCAGAGCCTTGACCTTGCAGGTAAGGAGCAGGCAGAAATGGCAGCAATCCGTCTTAGAGACTCTGACCAATGGGTGTCACATCACACCGTTCATGCGTCCATCCTAAATGGAAACAAAATCGTCCCCACAAAAACGGACTACTGCGTTCCGAGGGAGTATACAGATACCCCCTTCGAGACAATCATCCCTCACAGAAACATCTGGCTTGAGGGACCACCTGGTCCAAAGGGAGCCATTCGAATCTTTACTGATGGCTCAAAGCTGGACAACAAGGTCGGAGGAGGAATCTACTCCGAACAGCTGAACATAAGACAGTCCTTCAGGCTCCCGGATCACTGCAGTGTCTTCCAAGCAGAAGTCATAGCGATCAAGGAGGCTTTGAGCTGTCTTCAGGAAATAGCCCCTGCGGCAACTCATATAAATATCTATAATGATAGCCAAGCTGCGATCAAATCGCTGAATGCGATAACATCAAGCTCGGCCACCGTGGCAAACTGTCGCAAATCTCTTCA